TTCAAGTTTTTATTACTTAAAAAATGAACTATGTTAGTGTCGCTATGCGAAAAATGACACAGAGTCGCCACCGAATTTTATTTATCCCAAGGAGGGAAAGGGAAATAACGATAAAACCTTTAGGTAAAGAACATGGTCATTGCAACCAAGTTTTAGGGTTCGGGAGTCAGTTATGCGAGTGGAAAGTATTAGCACCCCCTCACATCCATCGTACTCGATAGGAACCTTCTAAGTTGTTTAGCTTGAATGGGTGTTTTAATCTAAAAGTTTGCTTGCTTAAAAGAAAAGAGGGGTTGGTTTTTTATTAGAGTGTTTGCCAAGGATTGTGGCCCTTGTGCCTACGTATCCTCACTTAAAAGAAGTGAAGAATCAGAGCTTCGTAGTTCGGAGGCTTGTGAAATGATTATTTGTTGATTGACTTTATACCTTGAAAAAAGGGTTTTCGGATTGATGCTTTAAGGCGTAAAGAAGTTTGATGAGTTGATGTTATTTTTAGGTTTTTGAGGAGAAATTATTCTTGATTAGGATTACACAAAAGACTTTGGGTAGAGATGAATGTTTCGAATAACCAAGTCGAGTGTGTTGTATTCAAAACATTCGGAACGAGTGTAGGAGGGTTCCACTCTCATTCCTTCTCCACCACTTTAAAGTTCAAGTTCATGGCATATAACTCTAATTGTAACTTTATTGTGTTTCGGATTTTTTTATAAGAAAAATACCACTTGATGTTGGATCAAGGTTTTTATTGTTTGTAAAAATATTTGAAGTGATACGAACAAGGTCGATGGCGACGCACAAGGTAATTGACTTACAAGGGTGAAAATGGCTCGATAAAATCGAGAGTTTATTTTTGAAAATAGTTTTGGAACCAAAAGTCAAAAATGACTATAACAATATCCACATACGATGGTCATACAACCACATCGGGTTAGTCGGCTTGAAAAACACAAAACATGAACTCCTTGATGGGAAAAAAATTTGGAAAAAAACTAGAAAAAACTAAGGGAAGTTCGTTAGGCGAAGGTTGTAGCGAAGCTGCCCAGAAACAGCAAGAAGTTCGCTGTGCGAACTTCCCAGCAAACGCAAACAGAGGCAAAAGGAACTGAAGTTCGCTGTGCGAACCTTGCAGCGAAGCTTCCCAGAAAAACAACAAGAAGTTTGTTGTGCGAACTTCCCAGCAAACGCAAACAGAGGCGAAAGGGGGTAAAGTTCGCTAGGCGAAGGTGTCAGCGAACATGACAGAAAGAAAATATCAAGAAGTTTGTAGTGCGAACTTCATGCTGTTTTGCCCAGAAAATGCCTTTTTTATAGAAACAGAGGAGAAATGGGGCAAAGTTCGCTATGAAAACTAAACTATGCTCTTTCTCTTTTCTTTGTTCTTTTACAACTGTTCTTGGTCATATCAAGATCTTATTATAGTATACAACGCAAGAAAAACACATGAAAATAAAGCATGCAAGAATGTAAAAAAGATAAGGGTTTGAAGGGAAGGATACCTAAGAGTTACTATCTTCCTTCACCAATGGCCTTTGTTGGATGTGCTTCTACGCTCCACCTCCTTCTTCTGGTTTTCTATCCTTATCTTGTTCTCTCAAGGCTTTCTTTTCAAATCTCTTTTTTCTGTTTTTTTCTCAATGCCTCTTGCTCTCAAATCTCTCTCTATGTGTTAATCACCCTTTTCTACTGTTGTTGCTTTTCTTTTATATCCAAAGCATTAGGGTTTGTACATGTTTTTTAAACTTCAGAATTTCTACACTTAGAAATGTCCAAAAGCCACTTTCTTGGTGCACCATTTTCCTCTAGAAATCTTACTTTTTCTGCTGCACTTTTGCTGCTGTACCAAAGCAATAAAGCTTGCACATGCTTCAAGTTTCTGAATTTCTATGTTTGGAAATACTTATTACCATTTTCTTCGTGCAACCCCTTTTCTTTCCATTTCTAGCATGCTGCTTTTTTTGTTTTTGCTGCTGCATTATCTTAGTGCTGTTTTTTCTGCATTGTCTTCCTTTATTCACTTATTCTTGGGTTGTACTTGTGGTTCATGCCTCTCCCCTTGACAGAATTTTGAAGTTCTGAAATTTGGCATGTAAGTGAAACAACATGATCTAGTTCCTCAAGTTTTGTGGCATGGTTTATTTGGTTGGAAATTAGTTGGTCATGGGGCTGTTTTGGATCAATTTAAAAATGCCTTGAAATTGCCCATGAATAAGCATAAATGGTTTTGCTTTTAAAATGCTCTAATGTTGAATTATCCTTAATTATTTTCCTTAGATATTTGTGGATTTAATTGGTTATGAATTATATGTAGCACATGGAGATTTGATGGGGCATGAAGGATACCATACAATAAAATTAGTTAAAAACTTGAATTAAGATTAGAAATAACTTAATTTTCTAAGCATTGCTTAGAGTTGGAAAATTATACAACAAATGTGACATTCTTGCAAATGTCATGAAATTTCTTTTTGTAACATTCTTGAATCTAATATTGAATTCATGAATTTTGAATTTAGAATGGTGGATTTCCCTTGTACCACTATTTGAAATGGATGAAGTCTTGAATTAGGCCTTGCAATTTTATAGACGACATGTTATTTTCATTATTTCCTTTTATACAAGAATTTATGGCAGCTCAACTATAAATATGAGCCTCATGATCAATTGCAAAACACATCAATTGACTGAAAACCTTACAAAAATATCTCTCTCACACACACTTGATATATTTTTAGAGAAACCCATGTGTAAATATTGTTTATAATTTTTCTTCTTATTTTGATCTCATTGTAAACCAAGAGAATCTTTTTTTCTTGAACTTGTAAGATATAAATGTTGCAAGTTCAACTGGTGTTAAAAGTTTGGTGTAAAGGTTGCAAGATTAACATGTTTTAAAAATTTAGTATAAAGGTTGTAAATTGAGCTTGTGCTAAAATCTTGGTTATAGTGAAAATCACATAGTGTTCTCCTTGGGGATTTGATGAAAGTCGCATGGTTTAGATTTAATAAAGATAAACTCTAGTGTGCATGCTTTCATATCTCTCTTATCTCTTTTATTTTTCTATTCATAATCATTAATCTTGCTCCTTATCTTCCTTCAGCATAAAACTCTTTTGAAAACCTTTTATTTCTTATCATTTTTTAAAACTTTTTATATCCACAATTCAACCTCTCCCCCCTCTTTCCTCTTTCCCTATAACAAGTTCTTTACATGGTGTTCTTAAAAAATTTCAGGGACAGTGTCTCCATATAAGAAATCATTCTACTAATATTGTGGGGGTATGATAAAATATGTTTATATTATTACTATTATTGATGTAAATATTATTAGTAATCATATATATAATTGTATCACTTTTTTAATTATATATAAATGAATTTTTGTCGTCTATGTTTTAATTATCAAAGTTCAAAATATTGCCAACCCTCCAATTCATAGTTTGTAAAAAAAAATATAAAAAAAATCATATTCACATAAACTCATAGTTTGTAAAAAAAATGTTTATAAAAAAATTAGGTAAAGATTTTTTAGACGTTCAAATAATCATAATTGTTAAATCATTAAAAAAAACATTTGACTTCAATAATAATTAGTTGTAAAATTAAATATATGATTTGTGATAAGGTTAGTTCTAAATTAAATGTATGATTTGTGATAAGGTTAGTTTTAAAATTAAATATGTGATTTGTGATAAGGTTAGCAAGATAAATATTTTAAAAGTATGTATGTATATATAGAACAGCTAACATTCCACTTAGTATATTATAAAAATTTTTGCAATAAAATTGTATTAAAATTAAAATATTTAATAAGTTCTCAATCTAAATTCTTATTTGTTCATATTTTAAGCCAATCAATAAAATTACTAAGGGATGTAATTGCAATTCCAGTCAATTCAACAAAATATAGTAAATTTGCAAAAAGGAGTAATTCCTCAAAATAATAATAATACTTGGGGAAGGGGTTTGTTTTTATTTAAATTTTAAAAACAAACATTGCTTGTTGAAGGGGTTACTAAACCGAAGACCAAAAATGCACTATATAAATGTGAAAGTCAATTAGCGTACGATAAGAATAGGTGAATAATAGATCAGAAAAGCTGTAGCAATCTGTTTGGCATTTTCCAGATCTAAAAACAGCTTATTGATGATTATTAGAAGCAGCTTCTCGTTCATTACAGGCACGGCTTTCGGAGTGTACATAGCTCAGAACTACAACGCACCCAACGTTAAGACGCTCGCTTCCATGGCTCTTTCCATGGCTAAGAGCATAGAACATGCTTATAGGAAGCCCAAGAACAAAGATAATGATGATTCTTAATTACTTATCTAATCTCTCTTAATGGTCCACCACTTTTTTTATATTTAGAAGAAAAATATGTTTCTTTATTCATTTTGCATTACAGGGTGGTTACATTATAATCTAATCTCTCTTTGCTTAGTATAAAGTTTTTTAGACACTTGTATAGTTTTTTATAGGCTTTCTAATGTTATTTCTTTGGATTTCTAAACATTCTTCATTTTTTATTGAATTCCCTATACCACTAGAACCAAAATATAACAACTGTGTATGTATCTCTATAATATGATGACAGATAAAAGAATGAGCTCATATATTTGGTAGTCTAACAACTACGAAGTAATATTCTTCGCATGAACGAATGAAGAAAAAGTAGACGATGTTCTTACTTTGCATGTTACTAGTGGTCTTCATTAACATTTCTATATAATTGATCGCTGAAATGAACCACACAAAACAATAAATTCCCTTCATAAGTCACAAAAAGAATGCTTGTTACCAAAAGCATGGGTCAATTCATAATAATATACTCTTCAAGCAACCAACCCGCACTTCCAACTAATGTTTAGTTTCTACGCAGCCCTCCCAAAGAAAATGCCCTCTAAATTAACCTATTTTGCTTTTCGTCATCATTTCTTGAACTGAATATTCAGGAACAATCTGAAAACTGAAGCACGAAGAAAAATCGAATGCCTAAAAGAGCTTAGGTTTTCTTCAGGAGATACCCTGTAATCATGCCAAGTAAACCAAAAAATATGACAAAGATCATCGAGGCACTCCCACGACTTTTGTTGCTTTGACGTTTCAGTAGGTCCTGCAAGTAATAAGATCATTGAAGTCAGGATTCCTCCTAGTTCAAACGCAGGCAGCATTATAAGGTTCATGGAGTTGCTTTATTACAAATATGCCACACAAAAATTGGCCTCAAATGCTTCAAATAAATATCACACTTTACTCAACAAATAGAGCAAGACGTTTGGATAGTTTCAACTTTCAATATCAACATAGGATGACAAAGCAATAGACAGGAAAATGTGTTCTAAGAGATCGCAACAGAAGCAAAAATGCACTGGTTGAACGCAAAAATGCAAGGTTGAACGCCTACCATCTCCTACACTTGCATAAGTTATTTCGACATTAAATGATGGAGATGATATTACATGGCTGCAGTCTCTCATTGCCACACAATTGCCACTCATAAACAATACAGCATATCAAGAGGAAAAGATGGATTCATCATTCCAAAAATATTTATAGGAAAAACATAGAGTATATTAATTCTATTCAAGAAAACATCTCTTATACAGCCAGTGACAAAACCCAATAAATACATACACAGATCCAACAGAGTCATCATGTGTTTTTACTTTTTAGTTCACATTTGGCTTCTAAATATTGTATTGTCAGAAAGGGTATATGATGACAAGACATATACTTATAGGTGATTAAATAACAGTATCCTAAGCAAATGCTGCCATATTTCACATAATTGTATTTTCGCAAGAAAAATACAAGAGAGATGGGTGAAAATATAACATGAACCAGAATCAATCTCATGAGTTAAATTATATGGAAGTTTAAAACAATATAAAGAACCAAGTCCTTTTAAAGAAAATCTATGCATCTACCAGAATAAGTCAGAGTAGACTAGAGGCCATGTTTCATATTTAGAATCTCCACTCTCCTGGTAAAGGGAGTTCATATTTCATATTTAATTAGAAACTCCTTTCTCCAATCAGGAAAAAGGCGAAACATTGACCCGCCAGATTAGGAAATAAAAGTTATCTACAATATATATTTTGTAAATCCTCACCAGTTCCTGACGAAGTTTGGCATTTTGTTGAATTGCATTATTCTTTTCTTCAGTCAGCCTTGACATGAGAGCTTTTGCCTGTAATAAAGTTGTGACACACATGGGGAAAAAACTCAAGATACGCTTTAAAAAATATACATTCTGACTCAAAAGCAGAAGACATTATATAGGTCATACAACATAAAGTCTTTGTACTTGCTACTTGAAAATATGAACTTATCCCTTGGAATTGATTTTAAAGGGACACCCAAGATATATGAGATTTGGATGATACCCAAATTTAAGAAAGAATGAACGACAAGACAAAGCACAGGGAACAATTGTGAGCCGTGGATTTTCACACTAACCCACACATTGTTTTCTGTCAAGCGTGAAAGTAACAGTTTTTAGTTTGTTTAAAGTAGTCCACTTTCACACTCTTTCTATTTGCATGGCTATTCCTTCATAATATTTAGCACTGCTAATATGAGTTATCCAAAAACACCCCCAAATATACCATTTTTAAGCCTAAAAAAAATTATTTCATGAAGCAATTTGTTTAAGCAATCTGCATTACTTGATTACTTCAATTATTATATGTATTCAATATCATGTCATTCTTTAGGACTATATGCTATGACTTCAAGAAATCTAGACAACCATTTAATAATAGCAGAGCAAAGAAATATCGTTGAAGTCATCACCACTAGTGAATCCTCTTGTTAATTAAATAAAACAGATGCTTACAAGCAACACTAATATCAGTAAACTAAATAAAACAGAAGCTAACCACAAATTAAAATGCATGTTGACAAACAACAAATTTACTTCAAAAGAAGAAGAAAAGATGGCACTTTGCTTACCTCTGCAGATTTTTCTGAAGATTCGTGACGTTCGGTAAATGCTCTCATCATCTGCAATAACCAAAAAAGAAATGTGTCCCAGTTGATACCAATAGAATTTTCATAGAGAAAAAATAAAGGACTGTCCTAAACAAGGAATAAGTTAAGAACCCACCGTTGTGGAGTCAGCACCACCGTTTTCGTTAAAAGAAACTCTAGGTGATGACCCTTCCTCAGAACCTTCTTGGACTGGTGAAGGAGGCTGAGGTGGAGCGACATACAGCACTCTCAGTTTGCACTCCTCAACCACATGCCCTGCTTCCTTGTTGAACTAGAAAATCCCAATTTGCACAAGTCTTGTCAAATTTTAACCCCATATACAAAACAATCAAAACAATACAAAAAAAGAACTAGCAGATGAAACTATAATGACGAATATCATTATGTATCATACCATTTCAGGAGTAATCTCCTTTGCATTGGCTCCATCATTCACTCTTACACTTTGAAGAAGAAACTTATCCTTACATTGCATATCAGGTGGAGCTTCCTTTTGCGCTTGCATGGTAACTATAAACAACCAAACATCACAATGCCATTGACCCACGATAACTTAAACTAAAAAGGTAAATACAGTACCTATAACATCACATGTAGATCGAGGCAACACAATTCCAGTGTTTGGCCGAACACAATATTTCTTCGGATTAGTTGTTTTTACCTACAAACATGAATGCATCAAATAACAAACTCAAACTCAAACTCAATTAAGCAAAACATAAATGTATCAAATTACAAATTCAAACTCAATTAGGCTCAAATTAATTAAACAGATCATGAATGTAGGTTTGGCAAAATCAATATCACAATCGAATCGTCGAAATCACAAGAGAAAAACAAAAGGCACAATGCATTGTGAAAAAACAAACGTGAAAGGAAATTTACCTTGAAAGCTACATAGCTATCTGTCTTATTTGATAATATAAGAGAACACGAGATCTGCTTCTTGAGTTCAACTGAAACAGGGAATGATCATGCAAAATCAAAATCAAAATCAAAATCAAACAACGAACAAACCCTAGAAAAATGCAAAGAGATCTACGGGAAAAAAATTGAAACGAAAAAACGTACAGGTGAACTTGAGTTCGACGGGTTCGATATTGAGAAGGTCACCGGTGGACATCATGTTGGAAGCGCGATCTGCAGAATCTGGTTGTGACGAAAGATGGAGAAAGTGGAATGAAAAGGGAATTGAAATTGAAAATGGAAATGGGAAAAATGTGATTAAGACAGGGAACTAAGGATTCTCATTCAATTTTTCATTTTCTTTTCTATTTACTCTGCGGTGGAGAGTGAGGCCATTCATTCCAACATATTTTCAAACTTATAAATAAACTAGTAATTTTTAACTAACAATTAAAACACTTCAAAGTAATAAAATATATATGTTATATAATTGTTTTCTCTCAATGTGTGAATGTGTGGGATATTGTTATATTTATTTAATGATAAAAAAAATACAAGCATAATTAAATGGGTCTCCTTTATAAGTTATTCGGGTTATTATATATTGAATTGTTATATTTGTGGGAGTTCTAAATAAATGCGACTTTAGAATCTTTTACTTGAGAATGATGTCGCATGGGCGACATCCAGAGAGAACAGGAGGCTCGCCCATAGGATTGATGGGTGTTTGATATCATTGTCTTTCCTTGATCAGCAGCATGGAAGTCTACCATGATTTTTTGAAGAATAGGTGGTTAACAATCTTCTCTAGCCATAAAGAAACGGTTGTCACCCCTAGAGGTTTTTTAAACCCTAGGCCTAAAAGGTTTTTATAACTACCCTCCCTCAGGGGGAGAAAAGACAAATCTTAACTATTATGGGTCACACCCAACATATACTTATACACAAGCAGCCAACATATACTTATACACAAGCAGCCAACATATATACAAGGCCTCTCATCCCACGCGAGCAGGTCCTTGAAACCACCATAAAATACCACCGTACAGGACTTTTCACCGCCACGAACAAGCCATAACCACCATACAACGTAATATACTTACTTAGACTCTGAGCATCCATGTCATTTGCATGGATGACATGCACACCTGTACTTTTTGACTGGTACAGTGGCGTCCTAGTAAAACTAACATGGATCACACCTTCTTTATAACCATTTTTAGCCATGGTTAACATGAGGGATCCATCCCTTATGCCAAAAGGTACCAGCGGCATCGGTGATGGCGACGTCTTGGTGAAGTTGTGTGTCGTCATGGACAAATTGCAATGTTATAATCAACATTGAAAGACAATGTTCACAATATTAAAAGGCATTAGTAAGAGTCCAATCCTCCGGAAGAGATGGAGGTGTTGGACCTCTAGCCACTTTTAGATGAGATATGGGGGCGCATATCCCTTACGAATTCAAACCTCCTTCTTTGGCCATATTTGATGGGTGTAGTGACTCTTCTAAGTCACCTCTATCAACACACAAATGACCATCATGGGAGCATCTGATTCTTTGAAGTGCAAATTATTGTCAAGGACGCCTCCTTGGCGTAGTATATGGGTCTACCATGTAACTCTATCGCCAGCTACTAGGAGTTGGTAAGGAAACTTTTGCATCGGTTCTCCGTCTACCGTCTGTTAGCTTGAGATTTTTGACTTAGCTTTTCTACATGAATGTGAGAAATGATGTGGATATCAACACTAAGTTGCAGATTTGATAATTGGAAACTTGAATATGTTTTGGACAATAGGACCTTTCTGGCATATATGATTAGATAATTTGAAGACGCTTTCAACAATAGTAACAATATAAAGCAGTTCAAGAAACGAAGACACGTGGAAACACATCAGAAGACAAAAGTCCACGTCGCAAGATAAATTTGAAGCACTTCAACAACCATCGGAGTAACTGCTCATGTGGTGATTCGGACAACAGTTTTGACTATGACACCATAAATGGTTATACCACCATAAACTAGTTTTCCTGTTTATTTTGTGGTTACACGACCCACTGTAGGAGGTATTAAGCTTTCATTCCTTCTAAGTTTTACACTTTTCCCTAGTGGGAAGGAGTATTTATATGGCATGCCAACTACAATGATAAATGGCCTATAGACGAATGTGTCAATGTACGTAGATAATACAATACTTGTTGCCTCTCTTTTCAATTCATAATTGGCATCAGGGTCTGCTATAAACAACCCTATTTGAATAGGTCAATCTCAAGAAGGACTGGGATACATCCTTCAGAGTATGCCACCTTTAACTAATAATTCCCTTATGGCTATGAGGCAACAGATGGAAGACAATAACCATGACATGGTTAACATGTTCACCCAATAGATTTGTAATGTTCAATCTTTTGATTCAAAATACCAATCATAGTTACCAATAGTTAGTCCTCCAAATGAGTCAAATTTCTAATTTCTTTGGTGCTCCTCCAACACCCATTCAGCAAGTTCCTAATAAGCAAGTGCAACAACAAGTTCCACCCAAACCATTCAAATGACCTAGACCAAAGGTAGTCGAAAATGTGGTGTTAGGAAACAGAAACGAAGATGCACATCACGTTGTTAGGGAAGTCCCAAAAAAAAACAATTTTGGAGGGAAAAATAACATAACAAATATGGTTGAACAAATCCTAACTCAAAATGGTATCAATGTTGGTCTTCATAGGCCAAATTTTGTTTCTGCATTATCTGAATATGTCTTGCAAGCTGAACTCATTGGGGGTTGGAAAATCCATAAGTTTACTAAGTTTGCAGGCGAAACTAGTGAAATTACTATTGAGCACATTACTCAATACCAGACAAAAGTTGGTGATATAGATAATAATAAAATTTTAAATATGAAATACTTCCATAATTATTTGACAAAGAATGCTTTCACATGGTTCACTACTCTCCCTCTAAACTCCATCCATAATTGGAATCAATTAGAAAGAGTATTCCATGAGCAGTTTTATATGGAACAGATGAAAATTAGACTGAAAGAGTTAGCCAGTATGAAACAAAAATCGTATGAACCAATAGACAATTATCTCAATAGATTCAGACTAATAAAGTCAAGATGCTTTACTCGAGGGTCTGAACATGAGTTAGTCTAAATGGCTACAAGTGGCTTAGATTATTCCATTAGGAAGGAGCTAGGTACTTAATACCTAAAGGATATGGCCCAATTAGCAAATAGGGTTGGACGAGTCGAACACCTGAAGGATGAGAAGGACAAATTAGAAAAAACTAGAATAAATCGACATCCTAGGAAATAAAATGTTGCTTACATGGAAACATATTATAATAATCTAAAACACGACATAGTTTTTGAATACGTTGAAGAAAACGATATCAATCGGGAAGAATTGATGCCAGGACCTTTGTATATTTGTAAGGTCTTAAGACCTTCTAATGGAAAGAGCCATGTAGAACCAAGTAGAAATGAAAAGTTTATCATAAAAACTTATACTTTTGATATAACTAAGTGTGATGAATTTTTTTATCTTATAGTTGCTGATGGTCAAATCATAGTGCCAAAAGGCCTAAAGAGACCACTATTGGAACAGAGGGAGAAGAAAGGTTTTATAAATATCATAATTTCCTTGGTCATAAAACGTCTCAATGTGCTTTTTTTTAGGGATTCGGTGCAAGATGCTTTAAAGGATGGCGGGCTGAAGTTTGGAAACAAACCCAAACCGTCAATGCAAATTGACTCAGATCCTCTACAAGTTCAAGAGGAACATCTTGTTGAGCTTGTAGAAATCATGATAGTTGAGACTATTAAAGGTCTCAACACAGAGGTCAAAGAGTTGAGTATGTTGGATTACACTGAGAAAACCAAAGTGGTATATCCAAAAGCTGGGGAGGAGTTAACTGATTTCTTGAGGTAATTTTGTGTTCATGCTAGTTGTAACACCCCAAATTTAATTGGAATATTTATTTAATTGTTTAAATAAGAATATTCATTTTTTCTTGTGGAATATTGGGAATTAATGCATTTTTGGGTTATTTATTTAATGGATATATTAATATTATTATGAATTAAAATAAATATAAGAAGAATAAGGGCAATTGGGACAATTAAGAGGAGTTAGTGAGGGTATTATGGGGAAATCCCAATTTTGAGGTCCAAGATTAGGTTTAACAAAAAGGAAATTGTGAAGGGATTAGGATTCATTTGTTAGACCGTGAAAATAATTGAGGTCAGAGCTCTGAGGAGGAAGATTGGAGGCAAAAGTTTCGAAAGATTCCCTGAAAGATTTGTGAAGGCTTTAAATCGACGATTAAGGTATGGGAGTATTACCTTCATGATTTTCCATGTGTAACTTTCAATGTATTTAAGGTCGATTTAAGGTTTAAGGGTTTTAAGGGTGGATATGAGAAATAGTGATCTTTGGCCTTCGTGGCTTAAATCTATTATTATGAATCTAACCGTGGAATTCATTGGGGTAAAAGGAAAATTAGGCATCCGTGGCCAAACTCTGATTTGTTATTTGTCTAACCCTGAAGGGATAGAAATATTAGATAGTGAGTAAATCTAATTCTTTTGAGGTAATTGTAGGGAAATTTTTTATTTAGGGCGTGAATATGATACGGGATTGGCCTAATAAACCGTAGGTTTTGTGCCTTTATCGTCGTAAGACCATAGGGATATTTTAGGGGCATTGGGAAAGTCAATTGTGTGAACATTTGGATGGATTTAGGTTCTGGTGCGTAGTAGAATTTGCTGTCATCGCACTGTTCGCCTAGCGAAGAATGCTTCGCACAATGAACAATGTTGTTCCCAGACTCGCCTAGCGAAGAATCCTTCGCACAGTGAAGAAATTCGCCCCAGACTCACCTAACGAACATGCCAGCGAATGTAGCAGAGTTCGCGAATGTTGATCGTGTACAACGATGCCTTGATGTTTGATTTTGTGATTTCTTTGACGAATTGACATAAGTATGACTGTGAGTTTTATGTGATGTGTACATGATTACATGATGATTTCTATGATGTATTGATTGGAAAACTATGATGATGTTACCATGATTTTGATGAATTATATGATGACATGAAATATGATGATGACTGTGATGATGATCATTATGATGATGATCATTATGATGAATGATGATGCACCTATGCTGTTATTATGAGGATGATTATTGACGTGTGCATCATACATTCATGTGCATC